AGAGAGGGAGACACAGAATCCGAAACAGGCTCCAGGTTCTGAGCTAGCTGTCAGCACAGAGCCTGATGCAGGGCTCAAACCCACGAACCCTGTGAGATCATGACCTGAGTCAAAGTTGGTCGCTTAACTGACTGAGCCACCCAGGTGCCCCAGGAACCCCAGTCCTTCAGTGATCACATAGAGGACCGCCACCTTCCCGCCCTGGGCAAATTGCCTCCCCTGGATTGTTGTAGAAAGGAGAAAAAAACTTTTATCTGTTTGAAGTACTGTCTTCTAGAATCTTTGTTGTATCGGATTCATCTATACCATAATATAAGTGAAGGCCACAGGACTAGTAGTCTTAGATCTTTACTTACTTGTTGAATTCTTGCCACAATACCCTTCTCCAAAATGCCAGGGTCAGAATGTCAACAAATGAGACACTAACAGACTTTCACCACTCATTTGTCTAAATGTGCAACCTAACATCTTTTAAGGGGCAATAGATTATGGCAACTCCATCTCTTAGTGAGTGTTCAATACCCTGCTGAAGATCAACAAGGGAATGCGTGCCATTAGAAATGAGGCCTCAGTCTGTCTCCCTCTGCCTTCTCTAGAAATACTCTTTCAGACCTCCAGGCCCTCAGCACATAAAGGCACAGAAGGTGTGAAGACACAGACACTGGATAACATTCACTGATGACTTCCCATGTGCTAACAACGCCCCTTAGAATTGCCCTTTACTGACACAACTTTTATTCCTGGTATGGAGGCGTCCTTGTAACCAGGCCTTGCTTTCATCTTCTCTCTCTACCTCTTTTTCTTACTCTTGTTTTCTCCTTGAAATTTCTCCCTTTCAGATTCTTAATGTCTACCCCTTCTTAAAAGTGCTCCCTCTATTTTGATTTTTTGTTTCACAAGCTTCTAGTTCAAGATCTAACATGTTTTGCTTCCTGACATCCTCAAAACCTGCTGCTCTTTCTTCTGCTCTGGCACTACTGTTACAGCATATAGTAAAGTGGTGAATTGCTTGAACGTATTTATAATGAATATATTTTTCATTTTTTTAAGTTTATTTATTTATTTTGAGAGAGAGAGAGCAAGCTCGCACACATGTGGGAAGAGCAGAGAAAGGGAGGGAGAGAGAGAGAATCCCAAGCAGGCTCTGCACAGTGCAGAGTCCAAGGCAGGACTTGAACCCATGAACTGTGAGATCATTACCTGAGCAGAAACCAGTAGTTGAAAACTGAACCAAATTGAGCCACCCAGCCTCCCCTGAATATATTTTAATAAGAGAAGGAAGATAATCTTCAACAACTGAACAATGTGAAATATTGACATTTTGAAATGTCGATTTGTATATTATTGACATTTCAAATGTCACTGTGAATGTTCTTGTTCTCCTGAAGTTTATATTTTAGTAGTTGGGAAACATAGTCTCAGAGTCCAGTCTTACAGAAAAGGTATTCCTGAATTCAAAATCTCATCTGGATAAAGCATCTTTTACTTCTTGTTTTGATAGACTAGAGTCATGTCTAGAGAAGCTCTATGTCACTAGAGGTATCTCCTTTGATCTCTTAAAGAAGAACTTGATAATATTTACTAGCTTTTGTAATCTTCTGACCATGAAAACTGGGGTGGAATATTTATCTCATACTCAACACAAGTCATAGAATGCACCAAACACAATAATTAAGGAACAAACCATTTCTTTCTTGTGTTTCAAAAAAAAAAATGATAGCTCATAGATAACAAGATCTTTATATTTCAGACATGTGAAAGAGATCCATCTTAGAGAAGGAAAGAAAAGAAAGGTTTGGATAAAGTGTGTGATCTCATTGCTGATCCTAAGTTGTGTGTGATCAGGACAAGTGACCAAGCTTATTCTGAGCCAACAGTGGACAGAGAATATGACCCCTTCATTTGTGACACAGGATTATGGTGACCAACAATGAAAGAGTACATGAAAGCACTTTGAAATCTTTATTTTGTTTAAGTCTTGAGAGAAAATACAGTGTGAGGTATTATGACTGCTGTGTACATTATAATGTTTGAAAAAACGTTCTTGTAGGCCTTGAATCAATCAGAAATATGATTTCAGTTTTGCACAAAAATATGCAGGGGCAAATGAAGACGGTTCAACTAGACATCATCAGTTTTCTTCAGTTAGGAGCAAGATAGGGATAGCGACAAGCTTTGGTTCTATACTCCCCCTAATGTCCTTGAGGATGTTGTGCTAGAATAGAAGATAAGGAACCACTGTGCTCTTTGTTTATTGGATTCTACTCTTCCACTCTTATTCAATAACATTATGTGCATCATAAATTTTCAAAGGAGAATACCAACTAGGGTTTATTTTGGTTAGGAAATAAACACTGTGTCTATTTTTTTTTTTTAACCATTACAAATGCTGTGGCCTACATTCCTTCACTGAGTAATTAAAACAGAATTAATGTTGTATCATCACTTCATACCCATTAGGATTTCTGTTACTAAAAAAAGAAAGAAAGAAAGAAACTGACAAGTTTTGGTGAAGATAAGACTGGAGAAATTAAAACCTTAGTGCACTGCTGGTAGAATGTCAAATGGTGTAGCTGTTATGGAAAAGAGCATGGTGGTTTCTCAAAAAATTAAAAATAGAATCACTATATGATCCAGCAATTTCACTTCTGGGCATAGACCCAAAAGAATAGAAAGCAAAGACTCAAACAGTACATGCTTACTCAAAACAGCATTGTTCCCAACAGTCAAAATGTAGAAGCAACCCAATAAGTGTTCATCGATGAATGAATGGATGAACAACCTGTAGTGTATATATTCAATGGGAGATTATTCAGCCTTAAGGAAGGAAGTTCTGACATGTGCTACAACACAGATGAACCCTGAAGACATTATGCTAAGTGGAATAAGCCAGTCACAAAAGGACAATACTGTATGGTTCTAGTCATATGGGGTATCTAGAATAGTCAAATTCATAAGAGACAGAAAGTAGCATGGTGGGGGTTGCCTGGGGCTGAGAGGAGGGGTAATTGGGGGAGTCACTGTTTAGTGTACACAGAGTTTCACTTTGCAAGAGGAAAATTTTCTAGGGATGGCTAGTGTGATGGTTGCACAACAGTATGAATGCACTTACTGCCACTAAAATATACACTTAAAAGTAGCTAAAGTAGGGGCACTTGGGTGGGGCTCAGTTGGTTAAGTGTCGGACTTTGGCTCAGGTCATGATCTCACAGTTCATGAGTTAAAGCCCTGCATCGAGCTCTCCACTCTCAGTGCAGGGCCTGCTTCAGATCCTATGTGTTGCTCTCTTTTTGTCCCTCCGCTGCTCATGATCTCTCTCTCAAAAATTAGTATTTTTTTTAAAAGTGGCTAAAGTAGTAAATTTTGTGTTATGTATATTTTACACCATTTAAAAAAATAAAGTTGCATCATCTCAAGGGATTCTAATGTAAAGAATAAATTGTGATACGAGTCAAAGTTATGGACAGTATTCATCTTATTAACTTGGTATTAAAGAAGAGAGAATGCTAATGGAGACTGGATGATAATCTTTTAAAATCTTACAATGGATGAAGCTAAAAATTATAGTTTTGATCTATCTTAAGTAATCCCATGGATCAAGGCCAGGATCTGGATTTTTTTATGCAATATTCAATAAAAAGAACAATCTGTGTAAATAATCTTTGTTCTATTTCCATGACTCTAATGTGTATGGATCAGATCATTTATCTGAAGAGAAAAAGATATGTTATGATCATTTTCTGCCTTTTTTATTGTACTATACCATACTCTCACAAATATATTGTATGTTAGATAATCCCAATATAGGTGAAATGAGCATGTCCCAGATGAGATGGTCCATAGCACATACTCACGCTAACCTATATGCACAACTTCTTCGGCTGATGTAGAGAAGGTTGGCTTTTAGAGCACACCATGGAGATTTCTAAAGTTTAATGGGATCCTCATTCACTCAGACATTACAATTAAAAGCCACAAGCTTCCATGTGAACAGTGGTTTGATTTTCTGGTATTCTCTCCTTAGTCACTGAAATGGGGTCTGACATTCTTCCGCCCTAGACCCTTATTTACATCAACTAATTGATAAAGTAGGATCTTAGTTCTGAGTCTAAAGACAAGAATAAGGACTGGGGAAGAAGTGGGCAGATTAGATTTCAGTACAATGTGCAAAAGTAACAGACATTCCCCCTACCATCTCCCTTCCCTCCTTCTTATCCCATTTTCCATAAGTTATTGAAAATAATAATGAAAAGATATTAAGGGGAGGTGCCTGGGTGGCTCAATTGGTTTGATTTCAGCTCAGGTCATGATCTCATGGTTTGTGAGGTCAAGCCCTGCCTCAAGGTCTGCACCTACAGCTCAGAACTTGCTTGGGATTCCCTCTCCCCCTTTCTTTTTGTGCCTCCCCCATTCTCTCTCTCTCAAAATAAATAAATAAAAAAACTTTGAAAAAGATGTTAAGGATTTCACAAAGGGAGAGAAATTATTACCTGAACTGGACAGATAGATTTCCTCCATCATACAGATTCCTCAGCCTTTTTTGGAAGTGGCATATTCTCAAATGAAGCCACATCTAGTGGCAATTCAGGAAAGGAATTGTGAATAAGTGTGACTTTTCCAGAAAGTGAGGAATTGTTTGTAGTTTTGTGAACAGTGATGTCTAAGCTAAAGCAAAGATGTGGGAATCTACAAAAATAGTACTGGGCAGTTGAAAAGTACCTTGGGGAGCTTGCCATCCTGAATATTTAGGTATTTATCCTGAGATGTCTCCTATTAGAATCTACACCTTCATGTTCTCATTGAGCATTTTGTTGTATGGAAAGAACAGAATGGGCTAAATATCTACAAATATAGTACTGGAAAGTTGAATTGCACAATTTCTTGAGGAGCTTCGAGTTCTTTTTCTTTCAAATTATGTCATAGAGAAAGGTAGTTCCCAACCGAGAAACCCCATATAACCATACTAGAGACACATTGTTAGGTCAATGCACTTTATTTTTTCTACTGAACTAGAGATGTACATGAATACAACTTAGAAGCACACTCCAGACAACTATTTCCAGTTCCTCTTGGAGCCGGTCACCCTTTCCCTGCAGGCAGTCACCCTACAAACACATCCAAAATGTGCTAAATGAAGTGACCTGTTTGAAACCACATCTCAGAGCACCGTCTATGAACTTAGCCCACATTGTCTTTGCATGGTGTCAGGAGAAGAAGGGAAGACAGTGGATGATTAAAATGAATTGGATTGACATTACCATTCTTAATTGTGACCTGTAAGGATTTGTATGGAGAGTGTTGTGTCCTCCTACTCTTGACTTCTTAGAGAATCCTCTTTTAGAAGAGTCAGAAGTAACCCTGGAGGACAGGTTTCTCCTTGATAACATCACTTGTCTCTATAATATCATTTATGTAAGCAGGGATAATTTCTTGAATATCATCTTGCCATCGACAAGTCATAAGGACGTATCCCTGCCTATAAGAAGATTCATAGACACAGTCTGTCATTACCACTCCTCTGGTTAAATTACAGTACACTCCTTTTATTGATCGCTTGCTCCTGTGACATCTCTTCACCCCATTCTTACAAGACACAAACAGATTGTTACAGATGTCTTGCAGTTCCTCAAATGAAGTCTGGAGGAAGAAATGTTCTTTTACACAACGGAATCTGTTGTGGACATTTTTCGTTTTTATTTCATCAGTACAGTAGTTGGAATCAGTTAAGGGTCTTCTCGAATAGATAATGGTGCGACTTTTGAAGACATCTTTAGTGGGTGGTAGGGTAGGTCCCGTGCTGTACATCTCCTCCAAATAATCCTCAAAGTGCTCTACCTCTTCCTCCGACATTGGAGCATATTGAATCAAGATTTTCAACTGCAGTGGCTGCAGCAGCAGGAGCAGCAGGAGAGAAAGGGGCCGCAGGGCAATCAGGGTCCACATGCTTTCCTGTGGGGACTACGGGAGATAAGGGAATGTGAACCACTTCCATACTGTGTCCGCTTCTATTCCTGTGTTGGGCAATGTTCGTTTCTGCCACGTACCGCCGTTCCGAGCTCGAAGACTTTGAGCAGTTTTCAAATTGACAACTCGGAATATATTTAACTATTTCTGAAATATAGACTAAAAAGTAACCTTCCTAGGCCTGTGCTCAGTCTGGAAGACTGTGGATCTGAGAGGAAAAGGTGAAGGAAGGAGGAAGAAAGGAAGAGAGAGAGAGAGGAGTGAGGAAACAAGGAAGGATAAGGAAGAGAGCAAAGGAAAGACAGAGGGCAGGAGGGAAAGAGAGAAGGTCAAGACAGCAGTGGGGAAAGAGACAGACAGACCGACAGACCGACAGACCGACAGACAGACAGAAGCAGAGAGGAGGCTCACGTGTTCCCACCATCCGGAACAAATGCATCTGTTCTCTTAGGAGTTGTGAACTCACACTGCAAAGAGCTGTAAGTGATCCTCCCTCACCTCCCCCTGCTGTTATGAGGGAAATTCTTCATCTTATGACTTCTCTTCTTGCTCATCTCTGACCATAGATGCCCTGGGAGAAGGGATCAAGCAAGTTATATGGGGTCAGATGAACAACCATCTGCTGTTTCTTTGTGCATATGCTTTCAGCACACCCTCCTTGCCTGGAGTTGCTTGGTCCATTTTGCAGCCTCCTCTGCCTCCTGTTACCACTCAGAATACTCTGCCACTGACCGGCATCACTTACCTTGTGAGGGTGTTTTTTCATCCTATTTTTTCATCTCTTAGGTAGGCTTCATGGTTTCCTGTGACAGGGTTTCACATCCCTAAACTCTCTCCATCCTGTGAGTCTGCTTGCAGAGTTATGGTAACCTCACCATGAGAGATTTCAGTCCTTACTTTCCTTGCTCTCTGTGAGTTTCCCTGTCTATTTCACCCCACAGCAGGCTGCACCAAAATCCCCCAGTAATTTGTTTTTTTAAGTTCATTTATTTATTTTTGAGAGAGAGAAAGAGAGTGTGAGCAGGGGAGGGGCAGAAAGAAAGGGAGAGAGACAGAATCCCAAGCAGGTTCCACACTGTCAGTGCAGAGCCTGATGCAGGGCTCGAACTCATGAACCCTGAGATCATGACCTGAGCTGAAATTAAGAGTCGATGCTTAACCAGCTGAGGCATCCGTGCACCCCAAGACCCCCCAGTACTTTAAACATACGTGAGCAAGTGTCTCTGCAACACAAATGTGTATAACTGAGATGACTTACATTATTTTAAAAATTGTCTTACCTTAAAAAGAAATGAAAATGTTTACTTTGATATATACCAATGAAGCATGTTATGACTAGGCTTTGTGGTTGTTATGTTAAATAATTATTTTAAAACTTTCCTTGCAAGAGCCTGAGCAGTAGAACATGTGTCACAGGAGTTGTGGCCAACTGCTAGACATAGTCTACCCAGGGCACAGTCTACCCTTTAGAGCAAAGTGTCATCTCTCATAGAGAATTCTTGGGCCTATCTAACATTTTCCAGTTCTAGTCCAAATCTGGCTGTTAATCATTAATTCTCCAAGGAGGCTTTCTTCCAAGACAAAGGCAAGTGCCTTAGGTATACCAGAGAACAGGCTTCCGGGCCTACCTGTGCGTGGAGTCTCTTGACCTTGTTCAGTCTTTGTGGTGTCTATGCTTCAGAGAATGGTGCTTCAAGGGGTGGACTGGAGAGATCCAGATATTGGGGAAATTGGCATCCCCTAAGAGTACAGGAACTTGGAGTAGAAAGGGAAAAAACCAAGTGTAAGCAGCAGAAATAAATACACTCTTGGGGTTTCCCTGAAATAAAAATAATAAATAATAATGGCTAACACAATAAGCAATGATGTGCAAAGCATTATCTATACATTACCATCTTCTTAATCCAAACAACCTTATGATAAACATGTTGTTTTTTTAGTATTGTTTTTGTTTTCATTGTAATCAGCATTTCTTTGTGAAAGGAGGCTGCTTAAAATTTTACATTGGACCTGCCAAAACCCTGGTTCAAACCCAGGTCACAAGTCTGTCTGATGTTTACAATTTGGTTCTTCACTGTTATTCACTGTGGCCCTTATCAGTCTAGTTTCCTTTCCTGAGGCTAATCCATACTTCTTTCTCTAGGCTGTCTTTGTAACTGTCAGAAGAGACCAACAGAAACACGGAGATCACAAAAGTGGCAACAACCAGGGGTGCCTGGGTGTATCAGTCGGTTGAACATCTGTCCCATGATCTCAGGTCTTGATCTCAAGGTCGTGAGTTCAAGCCCCACATTGGTCTCTGTGATGGGTGTGGAGCCTACTTTTAAAAAAAAGAAGTGGGGAGAATTAGAATTGTCTTTGAACCACTGGAGTGCTGTAAGAAATCGGCCCACCTGCCATGAAACCTAGCTGTGCTGCTGCAGGAGCAGTTTCCTGGGTTTTCTTACTCCACTGTGCCCTTGGCATAAGAGAAGTCTTCCCTTAAGGCAACCTGAGTGATTCTTTAATACTTATAACCCAGAAAACTTGAGCTACATGGAGATGGAAACAGGTTGGATCTAATCTTTGTATATGTGAGTAGAAAAAGTCAGAATTGAGGAGTTAAAGAAAGGCAGATGTTGGGGCGCCTGGGTGGCTCAGTTGGTTAAGCATCTTACTTCAGCTCAGGTCTTGATCTCAAGGTTTCTGAGTTCAAACCCTGCAACTGGCTTTTTGCTGTCAGCGCAGAGCCTACTTTAGATCCTTTCTCCCTCTTTCTCTGCCCCTCCAACATGCTCTCTCTCTTTCCAAAAAAAAAAAAAAATTTTTTTTTAAAAAAAGAGAGAGAAAGGCAGATGCTGGGGCACACATGAGAAAGTGGGGAGAACAGGAGGATTGAAGGCAGGAGTGCAGAGAATGGGACTGGAAGGAAAAACTGGGCTGCAGTGGTGACGTGAGAGTGGGCAGTGCTGGTGTGACCATACGCATAAGCCCTTCCTCTTGTCCCTGTTTCTACAGTCTTATCAGACTCCCCTGGGGAGTCTCTTCAGGAGAGTGAGCCCATTGTGACAGTTCAGGGAGCTCAGGACACGGTCCCATAAACGAGAACCTGGAGCATCTGTGACATCTTGAGCTACAGAGAACAGGACAGCAGGTGCATGGACAGCAGAGGTCAGGCTCCTACTGAGGACATGCCTCGGGGCCTGCCCAGGATACCTCCTTAACCTTTATATCCTAAACTTCTTAATATTTTAGTTATGAACTCAGCTTGTAGTTTCATGCTTGTCAAAATCCTTTCTTACCCCGAAAGTATATGCATTTTTGCTTCTATTCTATTTTATTGCTTTTGTGGACTTTTAAAAAATGTTAAGTTTTTTACCATCTGGAATTTATTATGAAGTATAGTGAGAAGTGGGTTTTGTTTTCACATAATTTGTCCATAATCCCAGTACCAATGATTTGGGGAATAAAATCCATTCTCTCACCACTAATTTAAAAGTTAGCTTATCTATTAAACAATTCTATTTCTGAACTATCTGTTGTGTTTTGATGATGGTTTTATCCATTCACCTGCCAGTAATATGCTTTCACTTATTCTCATTTTAGAAAATATTTTAATATCTAATAAAGCAACTCACATTCATTCTTCTACTTGTTCAAAGTTAGTACTGAGACAGAACAGAAAGTAGATTAGTGGTTGCTTGAAGCAAAGGGTAGGAATAGGAATTAGCAGTAAATGGGTAAGACAGACAGATAGAGACAGAAACAGAGAACAGATGGATTGAAACATGCTTATGCTTCTTAAGTTTTTGCCTGGCAACCTCACACAGCAGAACCACCTGGATGTCCTGTGGAGGACCAGATTCCCTGTTTTTTCCTCAAACCTCATTAATCAGAAGTGCTGTGAATGGGCCCATAAATTTGCACTTTATTATTTTTTTAAAAAAATTTTTAAATGCTTATTTATTTTTGAGAGAGAGAGAGACAGAGTGCAAGCAGGGAAGGGTCAGAGAGAGAGGAAGACACAGAATCTGAAGCAGCCTCCAGGTTCTGAACTGTCAGCACGGAGCCTGACGTGAGGCTCAAACTAATGAATCATGAGATCATGACCTGAGCCGAAGTCAGACGCTTAACCGCTTAACCGACTAAGCTACCCAGGCGCCCCAATTTGCACTTTAAACAAGTTCAAAACGTGAGTTTTAGCCCACTAAAGTTTGAGAAATACTGCCTTCATATACATATACATGTAATTAATGACATAGAAAACATCCCCAAATAGTGGGGAAAGTGTTAGACCTTTTCAGTAAATGTTTTTGGGAAAAAATTGGGATGAATTGCTTTCCCTGTTTGACTCTTGTGAATAATGCTGCTTTGAACATGGGTGTGCACTTATCTGATTGAGTCCTACTTTTCCTTTTCACTTTTAAACATGCGTGGGAGGGTTAGGATGGCTTATAGATTTGTAGGCAGGGAAGGGCCTTTTCTGTAATGCAGGTCCTGAGTCCCTGGTCAGAACTCTGTATTTAACCACAATTTAAAAAAATAAAATAAAAGATTAAGATGAGTCATAGGCTCCCCAGGGAGACAAATACATATTTCAGAGAGATTATTAGGTGGTATTTTAAAAGTAAATCAATTTTAAAATACAAGACATTTAACAGATCTTACAATAAGGCATCAATGGATTATGATTGCATAATAGTCATATAGCCTCAGTCACAAAAGGAAAAACTAAAATTGTATCTTTCAAATTGGTACAATTATAATACTTCATAAACTCACTGCTGGTGAGTTGATAAGGTGGGCAATCACCCATTTGTGATCAGAATGACAAAGTTGGCAAATATAATAAAAAGCTTTGAAAAGCTGATAATATCCTTCCATTTTTGATAGCTAAGATTCTAAGCAGCAATAGTTTATATAGAAATATGGACAGCAAGCTTTATTTAATAGAGATAAAAATTTGAAATTTGAAAACATAAATATCTAAACATTTGGAGAAAGGTTAACTTGAGTTTGATATGTTCATAAATATGGTAAAAACAATAATAACAATTGTAGTAAGAGCTAATATTTGAGATAGTGTTCTATAGTCAGAGAATTACATATTCTTAGAATAGATTGTTTTCCAGAATTTACAAATAAATTAACCAGTGAAAATGTAAAGATATGAAATATATTTAATATTATAGTAGTAGGATTATCTGGTCACAAGTGACAGAAGTACCAAACAAATTAACTTAAACACAAGAGGAATTATATTAACTCACAGAAAACAAGTCCAAGAGGCACAGCAGGATGAAGAAATTAAATCTTATGCTGTACTCTCGTTTTATCTCTTGTCCTCCACTGTTTTCTATGCTAACTTCATTCGCATGCAGGGTCTCTCAATGTAATGGCAGAGAAAATCATTGTCGTCTTTCTAGCCTATATTTAAGGTCACAGTAGGAAGTGTCATCCTCTCCCATTTTCATCCAATATAGAAAATAACTTTACCCATTGGCCTTGTTTCTGTCACATGCATAAATCCAGGATTGTGGGGTCTTCTGATTGGCCAACATGTAACACATGTCCTCCTCAGGGAAGAAAGGCAAAACCACACCATTAAAATTCCAGCAGAAATCCAGTTGCTGACCGAAGGAAGGGTTGTTCCCTACAAGACAAGAAAGGGATGGAGACTAAATACAAAAGTGGCAAATGTCCATTACAAATGGCCAGGGAAAAAATAAAACATTGAACTATATCTACAATCTGATCCCAATTAGTGGAAATATAGATTACGTAGTGGTGGTGGAGGAACCAAAACAAAACCTCAATAAACTGTTATTTCTGAATGGTTGATTTCTTATTGTTGTCTTTAAAGGTGTCTATTTTTAAAATTTAAAATAAGTTAGTTCTAAGAAATGTCACTTATGAAATGAATTTTTAGGATCTGGTTTTGGACATGTTCTTAAATATGAAGTGCCAATTTCTCAGGCTGCCGCATTTAATATCAGTTAACTTCCACTTTTGCTCAGCATCAGGAAAAGTCAGTTCCTTAGTTTGAGTGGTTAAGCAAAGATAAAACCTCAGTCTGTAGAGTTGGAATTACCTTTGTGAGTAAATCCCAGAGTATCTCTTTGTTTAATTCAGTAGAAAAAATCTAGGTTTTAGCTAAACTTCAAATTCATACTCTGCATAAACATTTTGGGGCAATATTTATGCTTCTGACCTTTACACCCATAACCAAGTGTCAGGTTGAGAAAAATCTTGAGAAAAATGTGATTTTTGTGTGTCATGAGAGGATCGATGACTTCACTGAAATGCACATCTTTTGTTCAATTCAAGACATTTCTTCCCCATATGGCCCTAATAAAGACCTAAATATATGAACTTACAGAGACAGACTACAGAAAGGAACTAACTTTTCCTGATGCAAAAGTGGAAGTTAACTGATATCAAATGTTCCAGTCTGAGACACTGACACTTCATATTTAAGAACATGTCCAAAACCAGATCTTAATAAACATACACAAAATAAGAATTACTCAATAATTGAAAAATCAATCCTCAGGGCACAAATATAGAGTAATTTTGACATCTTATTTTGCAAAAATGGAGTCAAGCCAGCTCTCAGATGACAAAAATCTCTTTACATTTGTTTGCAGTTTCCTGCAAGTTTATATTTATGCATGCCTTGGTTAGCTTTTTTATTGTATGATTCTATAAAAAAAGATTTTTTTTTAAGATTTGTTGCATTGATATCTGCTATTTTTTTCTGTAATGTCAGTGTGAGTTTAGAAGGTACAGACTAAGATATGGCCATTGATACGGTTTGATCTCATAATTTGGCCCTTCTCAGTGATCAGGAATAACAGGAAAATAGAAGCATAGAATATATTAGGATAGAATATCTCACAGATTTTGCCTGGGAAAAGGAAAATAAAACCCAGTGAGACAGTGGGTTCTATATCAAGAAAAAAATAGAGGAACCTGGCTGGCTTAGTCAGTGGAACATGTGACTCTTAACTTTGGGGTTGTGAGTTTGAGCCCCATATTGGGTGTAGAGATGATAAGGAAGGAAGGAAGGAAGGCGGGAAGGAAGGAAGAAAAAAAAAATAAAGAAAAACAGATTTCAGTGTTCATACCCACCCACCCATACACATTACAAACATATTCCTCCATGTATGATGAACTAGAGGTCAAAGTAATATTTTTAAAACAACATTAAGGATATTGATACAAGTATATATAGTGGAATATTTTTCACAATTTTGGAGCTAGTGAAGGATGTCTTCCTTAAGTCAAACAAGAGCATAGCCACAAAGAAAATTATTGAAACTCTTGGTTACACATGCATAGACTGAGCTTGTACACGTGAGCACAAAGAAACCCTCACCTCAAAACAAATAACATAAAAATAATCTCTAATAGCAAAAGACACCAAAAAATAAACTTCAAAAACCAGCAACACTTTGGGGAAAAAATGCTTCGGGGGCGCTTGGGTGGCTCAGCCGGTTAGTGTCCGACTTCAGCTCAGGTCATGATCTCACAGTTGGTTCGTGGGTTCCAGCCCCACATCGGGCTCTGTGCTGACAGCTCAGAGCCTGGAGGCTGCTTCGGATTCTGTGTCTTCCTCTCTCTCTGCCCCACCCTTGCTTGTGCTCTGTGTCTTTCTCTCTGCCTCTCAAAAATAAATTTTAAAATGTTAAAAAAATTTTTTTAGTGCTTTGAAAACATGTTCAGTGTAAAATTGCTTCTCAAACTCGGGTATAAGAAAAGTATGGATTTCTTCTCTCAATCCATCATATTTGCACCAAAACCTCAGCTCTTAAGGGTAGCAGCACAATTTACCTCTGTTACAAATGTAGGGGTCTTCTGCCTTTCTTATATAGTTAGGAAAATCAAAATACCTGCATTTGTCCTAGTGAAACAGAAAGTTACGTTTTTGTACATTTTGTACATAAGTGTTGACGACCGGTATCGTCATAGTTTCTCTTTCTGTTATCAATTGTTTTAATATGGAACATAGGGTTGTTTTCTCCTCACCCTTTAAACAACTAACATTTCTGAAAAGTAACACAAAAGCACTGACATCTCTTTGAGCTACCAAGACCCGTTTCTTGTGGTGTAAAGAATTTCTCTCTTTCCCAGTATGCTACAGCAGTAAAAGCAAAATGCTCATCTATGCCTTCACAAAGTATTCTTATTTCCTATGAGATCTTCATTCAACCCCTGCATTTCTTAGCTTTTGTATCACTAACTCATTATGAGTGCAACTCTGCCATGATAAATCTATTTTCTCACTAGAAAAGCAAGGAGAAGTGGTTTATCTCCAAAAATTTTAAGAAGCCTGTTAAGACAAGAATACTTTAAACTTGGTGTGGTTTTTTTTTTAAAGATTTTATTTTCAAGCAATCTTCACACCCAACGTGGGGCCCTACAAATCTCAGATTAAGAGTCACAGCCTCTACCAATGAGTGAGCCAGGCTCCCCTAGACTTGGTTTTATATATTTATTTATTTATTTATTTATTTATTTATTTATTTATTTATACTTATTTATATTTGAGAGAGAAACACTACACAAGTAGGGGAGGAGCAGAGAGAGATGGAGACAGAATCTGAAGCAGGCTCCAGGCTGTCAGCACAGAGGCCGACGCAGGACTGGAACTCACAAGCAATGAAATCGTGACCTGAGCCAAAGTCAGACAGTTAACTGACTGAGCCACCCAGATACCCCTACCTAATTTTTATTTTTTTAACATAGTTTTTTAAAACTTTTTAAAGTTTATTTATGTACTTAGAGAGAGCGAGAAGGAAAGGAACAGTGAGAGAGAGAGAGAGAGAGAGAGAGAATCCCAAGCTGAATCCATGCTGTCAGCACAGAGCCCAATGCAGGGCTTGAATCATGAACCATGAGATCATGACCTGAGCTAAAACCAAGAGTTGGACACAACCAACTGACCCACCCAGGCGCCCCTAAATTTGGCTTTAAAATGAAAACATACATAAGGATGAATATAACTTCTAGTCAAGATGAAGTAACATGGACCCGATTTACCCTCCCACCTGAAACAATTTTTAAAACTGACAAAATGCTGGAAAAATTAGTTTCAAGACACTAACATCAGACAACAAAATACACTGATCTTTGAGACACAGGAAACTAACAAGGTGAGCCCTACAGTTTGCCTGGCTTACTGGCTGGAGAGAGATTTCAGGCACAAGTGAAGAGTTGGCAAAGTTAGGAGGAGCCTGAAGACCACAGGAGATAAGGAGGAGGAATTGAGGAAACGAGGAGGCCAAGAAACTTGAGTCCATAAGCGAGAGTGCTAGAAAGGAGAGTGCTGCCTTGAGCAGAAACATGGAGATCTGCACAAGGTTTTCTCAAGTATGCAGCAGAGTACTGTTTATTATATGTGGGGGAGAAAACCACCTGAGGCTGGGGAAAGAATTATCTAAAAGGATCAGAGGAGATAATGCCTAACCCTACTAAACAGGCTGGAAAAAGTCAAGATGCATAGGATATTAGATTGTGTACTCAGGAAGGTCTTGCCTCAGTAGTGGGCAATAATTAGCTGTAGGCTTCTATTGCTCTGCACCTGCCTAACAAATCAAAAGGATCGATGTGATTCCAAACAGCTTATGTGTATTCCAGACAAAAGTTCAAGAATATTTATAGGAATGCTGGGGCACCTGGGTGGCTTAGTTGGTTGGGCATCCAACTTTCGCTTAGGTCATGATCTCGTGGTTCGTGGGTTCGAGCCCCGCGTCGGGCTCTGTGCTGACTGCCAGCTCAGAGCCTGGAGCCTGTTTCAGTCTGTGACTCCCTCTCTCTCTGACCCTCCCCTGCTCACGCTGTCTCTCTCTCTCTCTCTCTCCTAGAAATAAATAAAACATAAAAAAAAAAGAATTAAAAAAAAAGAATATTTATAGGAATGCAAATATCCTTACCAGGTAAACCAACAAGGTAAAATTCACATCTGGCATCCAATCAAAAATAACTAAGACTAGGGGCGCCTGGGTTGGCTCAGTCAGTTAAGCATCCGACTCTTGGGTTAGGCTCAGGTCATAATCTCACAGTTCATGGGATTGAGCCCCGCATCAGGCTCCATGATAACGGCATAGAGCCTGCTTAGGATTGTTTCTCACTGTCTCTCTCAGCCCCTTCCCCACTCACACACACACACACTCTATAAATAAATAAATAAAAACTTTTAGAAAATTACTAAAAGAGGAAGCAGGTAAACAAAAAACCATAATGAGGAGAATCATGATTCAATTGAATTTGACCACAAAAAGGCATAGAATAAAGACATTAAAACTATTATTATAACTGAATTTCTTATGTGCAAAAAATTAAGTAGATTCATGGATCATAGGGAAAAAAACAAATCAAACTTTCAAACTTTTAAAGAAATGAACTAAAATGTGTGAGATGAAAAATATACTGGATGGGATTAGTGGCAGATTAGATATTACAGAACAATGACTAGAGAGTTTGAAGGTCATAGAAATGATTCAAATGAAACACAGAACAAGAAAATAAAAAAAAAAAAATGAAAAGACCATCAGCAAGCTGTAGAATGAATTTGAGTGACTTCAGATGAGTAATTTGAGTCTCTGAAAAGGAGAAGCAGAGAGATAGAAAAAAATTAGAATTAATAGCCAA